CTACTCAACTCCCTATTAAGTACCTTGGGGTGCTTCTTATCACTGGCAGAACCAAACAAACTCAGTTTGATGAGGTACTGAATAAAATATCTAACCTTCTCAATGGGTGGACACAGACCTTCTTGTCTAATGGGGGAAGAATTACCTTGTTAAAGAGCATAATCACTACCTTCCCAGCTTATATATTACAGATGACTACTATAAAGAAAAGAACTCAAATACAACTGGAGAGACTGTTTAATAAATTCCTGTGGTCTGGTCAAAGATAGCAAATGCATTTGGCTTCCTGGAGGAAAGCAGCTAAACCTCAAATTGCTGGGGGAATTTGATTTAAGGACCTTGATCAACTCCTTCAAGTCAATTTCTATAAACTCTGGATTAAGTTTAAGACTCAAAATTCATTGTGGGAAAATTCATGTGGGGTAAGTATTGCAAAGATCAGCACCCCACACAGGTCCTAAGGAAAATTGGTGATTCTAGAATTTGAGTGAAAATGCTGAAAATTATACAAATTGTTGAAACCAACTATAGTTGGGAGCTGGGAAATGGGGAAATCAAGTTTTGGCTTGATAATTGGTTTCCCAAAGACTGGCTCTCCCCCATCACCAATATCTACAATAGTGAATTGAAAGTGGCTGATTGTTGGGATGGCGATAACTGGTCCTTGGGTAAGTTAGCAAGTCTTCTGCAACCTCACTCTATTACCAAAGTGGCCAGTATAAAATTTAACAGAAATATTGCTGGCAAAATCTTATGGCAGACTACTTCCCACCAAAGCCTCACCAAAGCCATATATTCTAAAAATTTCAAATGAAAGCAAACACTCTGGGGTGATCAGTTATGGAATAAATTCCTATCCCCTTCTATGTCATTTTGTTGTTGGAGAATATTCCATAAATGATTCCTACTGATGACATTCTAAAGCTGAAGGGATTGAGGGGTCCCTCTAAATGCTGGTTATGTAAGAAGGAAGAGGTCAAATGCTGGTTATGTAAGAGGAAACTCTGAATCATTTATTCTTTGAATGTGACTTTGCTCAACAGGTATGGAAACAGTTCTTAAATCAGTTGACAATTGATCAGAAAGAGCTCACTTGGGATAGGCTGGTCAATTGCTGGTGGCACTGGAAGATAAGAAAGTATGCTACTATCCCTTTCACCATTGCTTGGTTCATCTGGATGGAAAGAAACAAGGTCAAATTTGAAGAAGCAAATCCAAATGTGGGGATTACTGCTAGAAATTTATTTGCATAAGTGCATAAGATGATTAATTGGAAAGGATTTCCTAACATTTCTAACTCCTGTACATCCGTACATCCATTAAGTC